TTATTATAAAGTTACAATTTGTACAAAACATTGATACAGGCGTGCCAATCTACTCAAGTTCAGGAATACTAAAGCTCCTAGTGTAAGTAAAATAATGTATTTATTTCTAAATAATATATATTTATTGTAAAATAGTCACAACCCGTATCTTACGGAGTGCAGTTTATTTAATTACAAAATTATATAATAAAAATAATATAATAAAGTCATAAATCCTGACCTACATTGTGTCAACTTATTAAGTTGATAAGGCAACTTGTCCCCACAGTGATTTTAAAACAAAACATTTTCTGTAAAAAAAAACAATTTGATGAACAAATAAGCTACATTATTACAACTATACATAAAGCAACATGTGATAAAAAAATGTTTTTAAAAGTTATATTATAAACCTATTTTCAGGGGCGGATGGGACGCCTTGCACCGGCGCGTGTGTCAATTAAAAATTAAAAAATATCGAATTAGGTACAAAGTTACAAACTTAATAACTATAGATTTGTTTTGAAAAGGAAATGTTATTAAACAGAATATTTAAGTAAACGTACTTTAATTTATCATTTATTTATCATCTTACATTATATTTTATCTATGAAGACTAGAGATAAGGAGGCGAATCGGCCTTGGTCAAATTTCAAATTTCCGTCCCTATTTTTATGGAGTTCCAAAAAACTACAGTAGTTGGCGGGTGGCAAAATAACGACGTCTATTTTATATGCAAGTCAATAGGAATTAAAGTGATTTTTGTAAAATTTAGTAAAAATAATAAAAATAACCTGAAATAAAGAACCTGACTACAAGTAACAATGAGTAACAAAAAACGGCAAAGCAGGATTTGCTTCGTTCCGGGTTGAAATACGGGATATAAATCCGATATAAAATTAAAGAAAACACAAGGAGATAAAAATCCAAGTCTTTTTAAAGCTCCTAGTGTAAGTAAAATAATGTATTTATTTCTAAATAATATATATTTATTGTAAAATAGTCACAACCCGTATCTTACGGAGTGCAGTTTATTTAATTACAAAATTATATAATAAAAATAATATAATAAAGTCATAAATCCTGACCTACATACAACAATAATTACACATTAAATTTAACTTACTAGAAAAGAAAATTTGCTTTTTTTTATTTTTTTTGATGTTAGATGAAGAGTTACTACTGTTATTTTTCTTATCTAAAATCATTGCATAAAAACAGAGACACCCCTTAAAAAAAAGAAAAAGTTATGTACGAACGCCACGTCGTCAGAAAAAGGGATGTGAACCGAGTCCATAATAACTCGTGTAGCAATGAAATCGTGCGTGAAACATATGCCTGTCAAGCGACACGCGCCGCATAATGACGTAATAATGTATTGATACATGACTCTAACCCTCTATTTTCTCGAATTTTCACTTCAGATTGCGTGGGGTTGGTTTTTCAGTTGGAACACAGTGATTTTATAATAAAAGAATCCAATCTTCAATCAAAACAAAAGTGCTTTGATTCTTTAGTGATTTTCCGCAATTTTACTACCATACCTACCTATAAGATTTTTTTTGATACGAATGTATAATACCATCATACAACCAAAGATATATAATGTCTATGGTTGTAGTCCCCATAAGTTATAAAAAATCACTAGTACAGTTTTAAGAATTTTCATTTCCACTATAGGTACTTTAAAACTGATCATGTATCTGCTATTTATGTAGATAGTATCGGATAGCATTACTACGATATAAACAATAAACGTTCATTCATGTAGATACAATGTGCTTCACGTTTCCGTTTTTTATTTTCTTCCGTAAAAAAACAAATTATGAGTGAATTGTCCCGAAGTACATTGTCCGCAAAAAGCCTTGGTTTCTTTGAACACTTCGTCGCGGTGAGCGGACAGTCCGTCAACCGTCGCGTTTTGACGATTTTATCCAACCAGAGTATTTAAATGGGAATGGTTTTCTTGAATCCGCTTAGCTGAGCAGGACGGCGTCATGCCGCTGATTTGTCGCGAAGAGTCGGTTGATATCTGTTGAGTTTGATATCAGCGGAATCGTCGGCGTGTGCGGAGACTATATTGTTATTAATTTTAAAACAATGGGTGACAAATTCACACATACAAATGACATCATGACTTTATTTTTAGATTTCTTGGAAATTATGTCCTTTATAAAACTCAACACGAATTCAAAAAGATCTGTAGAAAGTCTAAAATACTCCCTAAATTTGGTTTCATTTCCAAAAAACCTCAGCTGCACAATGATATTAAAGGCACCTTCTATATCGCGACACAAAAACAACTCATCCACTGGCTTATTGGAAACTTTGACGGTTGCAATTGCCAGTTCCTCTTGTTCTTCCTCTTCCAACAATAATAACAACCCAAACAATTTATTTGCATCCATTTTAGTACCTTATTTCGTTTACATTCATAATACATAAACAGCACGTACAGACCTAGAGAAAGTATCATTTTCTATATTTTTTAACAAACCACCTCGGGCGAAAATTGCTGTCCTTAGCGGTCGACGGACTGTCCGCTCACCGCGATGGAGTGTTCAAAGAAACCAAGGCTAAAGGAATAGGGGAAGAATAAGAAGAATAACTAATCAAATTATAGGTTAGATACGTCAAATTATCCAACCATAATTTGCCCAACTCGGCCAGTTTTGCACTTCCAGTCTCCTTGATGGAACGGATTTATAGTATGTCACGATAGCTCAAAAAAGGCTTTATAGAAAAACTTCAAATTTTGGATGCTGATAAGGTTCTTTTCTGCTTCAAAACCAGTTATACTTCCGATCAGTTATATACAAGGTAAGCAGTTTTTTTTTAATTATTTTTAAAAGTCGGCATATTTCGACTAAAATTGGTATCTGAGTATTTTAGAAGCCAAAGATAACAGATTATTATAATTTAAGTACTTAAGCGTTCCCTGTTTTTACAATTTCTATATCGAGGGAAGTTCTGGGTAAAATACTTTACCGATTTTTGTAAACAAAATTAGTCTACTAGTTTTTCGTCGTTGGCTAAATCTGTCTTAGGTAAGGTCCGATTACAATTAAAAGAACACATCTACGTCATCAATTGGCGAAGTAATTTGTTGGCTATAGCCGCCTACTGGAGGATTAGTGGCGTGTTAATATTATAGGAATGTAGGAATAATATTTTTACACCTAACAACTCATATTCTTTATTTAATGATAGTTATAGATGATATATAATTGAAATTCGAAATAATAGTTATGACGTAGCTGTGTTCTTCTTATTGTAATCGGATTCTACTGAAGATGGACAAATAAAAATTACAACGAAAGCAGGAAAAAAATTACCCTAATTAGGGCATATCTATAGATTTGGCTAAGGAAGCACGAGAGAGCTATTAAATCGGTTTAGAAGGAGGGATGGGCGATAAAGAAAAAATAGGGAAGAGGATGTACAATTATTGTTCAATAAAAGAATTTGTCCTCATCGTTCAAAAAATAGGAAATCCAGTACCTAAACATTTTTCACGTTCTTGAAATGGAATGCACGTTTTTGGAATAATCACATGTAATTTATCACGTAAGATAGGCTTTTGTAAGAGATAACAGGAGATATAACTACTAACAAATATCTAAAGGATAAAATAAAGCCTATTTCATTATTTCTCTATTTGTTTACAAACTTATTTACATATATTATTAAAAAACCTAAAATAATTCAACCTATTTTATTGCAACTGAACCCAAAAAATTTTAAATCATTTGTTAGGTATATCAAATTTAACTAAATTAGATGTACCTAATAATTTTCGATAAATTCCAAAACCTAGTCATGTTAGGTTGGAAGTGGCAACAGGAGTTACACTGGCATGGATATTTGCGTTGTTTATTATAAGCGCACATTTATTCATTGATAAAAAAGTTGTACCTGCGTAAAATTCTTCTCTTTATCCCCTCTCTTACTACTCCCCCTTCGTCACCTCGCCGCGGACCTACAAATATTGATTGTCGAATTATCCTGAATATTATATTTTATCAATGAATGGTTATATCTCTGAGTATAACATATAGCATACCAATTTGTGTTCACAAACATCATCCAAATTGACCTTATTGCTTTAAGACAAAAACGTCTTCAAGTTCAGGCTCAGAGTTCAGCAATGTTTTTAACCTAATTTTACACATTTACACTTTTAAAATATCAATCCACGAAAAAACGAAAAAAATGTTCTTCATGTAATTTTAGAGTCTGCTCCAGGAGGATTATTATAAATATTTCAAATTACTTATAGAAATTCCGAAATAAAACTAAAATGATCAACAATACATATTAATTATTCTTAAAAAACTATGCGACCAATAATAGAAATAACTTTAATAGTTAATAACTTTAAAAAAAAATTAAAAAAAGTCTGCGACCCTGCCAGGATTCGAACCTGGAATCTTCTGATCCGTAGTCAGACGCGTTATCCGTTGCGCCACAGGGCCTTGCAACTTAGTTTGAAGAAACCTTTTTATAAGCACCATTAATAAATAAAACTTTCAAAATGGAAACATTTTTATTTGCTCTTAAAATAATTTTTGAATAATTCACATACGTAGAATATATTATACCAACACTTTGTGTGATTGTACAAAGCTACCATGTGAAGAGTTCAAAATAGCTTAAGGTAGGTACCTACAATTTATTAAATATTAATAGTAACTGTATAAAGATGTAGATGGCGATGCTATGAGGTAAATAAAATATTCGACGAGATCAGCTGGCACAAAATGACTTCATTTCATTGATATTTTGAATTTGCTTTGGAACAAGTTATTCTTATTTCACGAAGAAAGAATCAATAGTAGGTGAAATCAATAGATTTGTCCTAGTTTTGTAGTGGTAATTCGTTGTTTATTATTTATAATAATGAACAGCACACATTTGACAAAAGGTAAGTGTTAAATTAATTTTAATGTAAACCTTATAGTGGGAAGTGTTCCTGAGTATGTTGTTGAATTTTCTTTTTAAGAATGAAGCGCAGCTTAAAATAGCAATTGTAAATAAAATGACGTCAGTGTGCTATTAAACCTGCAATTCCTTATTCAATAAACGAATAAACAATGCTTTATTAGAGTGTAATTAATTCAAGGCGAACGATATACGAAAAAGTATAAATTTTCTGTTGTCTATTAATATTAATAATGCTATTTTTCTTACGTAGCTATAAAAAACAATACTTTAAAGCTTTGTTTGTTTGTGTGTGTGTACCAATTGCACTTAATTATTAAAAAATTATTAATTTTAACAATTTTTTGACTTTTGATCTTTATTATTGCCTTCATTTGTGATGCCGATATTTGTTTTCCTACATGAAATAATATTATACTTATCTCGTTTTCTTTGTCCATTTTTTTCTTAATAAATGATGACTATAGGTAGGTAGGTACCTAGATCATTTTCTTGTTCATTTTTTATTTAGTAGATTTTTATTTTATCCAAAAAATACCTGTATGTAATAGGTATTTTAATAGGAATACCTAGGTACTTGAGAAATAAAAAAGAAAACATAATTTCGTTATGCAGTAAGAAAAACTGTGTCCTATATGTATTGCCTCATCCAAAGTTTATAGGGTTAAAATAGAATTGATTAATCGCTACGAAAAAGTGAAACTCTAGCCTAGCCTCCGTTGGTTTCGCAATAAAGATACCTCTTGAAGTCTGCAATATGTGTATTCAGCGGGTCATGTTTATTTTGGTGCGATTACCTCATAGTTTTGTAGTAGCAGCAAGATGAAATATACTCATAAATAATTAATTTCATGTTGTTGACCTTATTTTTAGCTATTTATAAACACAAAATATATCGTTTTCGTATTTCCGATATTCTGTATATTTCTACTTTTAATACCTACGTAGGTACAGAAATCTATATTGTAGACAAATACCTACTTAATAGTTCTTGAGAAATTGATTTTGAAATCTATAATTTTTAGTAAAACATCTTTAGATGTACCTATACCTACCTATATTATTGCATATATACTTAGAAACAAAAAAATGTTAATAAATGATATTTCGCATGCAAAATGTTCTTTTTTTTTATTTATAGGTACCTACGATCTTGTAAAATACTTATAAATTCTTTTAGGTTCAAAACAACCTCTTCCTCCAAAAGGTAATAAGGTTCGATTGTATAGTAATCGTTTTTGTCCGTATGCCCAAAGAATAATTTTGGTTTTAGACGCGAAAAAAATTCCGTAAGTAATTTAATGCTATATTAATCTTTTAATGCTTATTAGAATGAAATTTAATATAGCCGAAATAGCTCAGTTGGGAGAGCGTTAGACTGAAGATCTAAAGGTCCCTGGTTCGATCCCTGGTTTCGGCAGTATTTTTTTTTTTTTAATTATATTTTTGAAATTATAATTAAATTTAATTATTTTTTTAATGTATACAGTGTGGGAATTTTAATTTTATACTTTTGATAAATACAGGGTTATTCATAAATTACACTTAGATCATCGTTAATATCGGATATATAAAAAATGTTTTCAAATAAAATTGTGTGTTTTGTTAACAGTGTAGTCAAAACACAGTGACGTGCAGATTTCACGGGATACAACAAGAAAATCATATTTTTTTTAATTGGGATACCCGATATATCATTTATAAATTTATATAAATGTCAACTTTTACTATCTACTATCAGTAGATAATCTTAAAGAATAGAACGAAGCCAGCAGCAGAGCATCTCCGTTTTTAAAGTTTTTTTTCTAAAAACAACTACACCACATTTTTAGGCTAATTTTAGGATAATTTTAGGATAATTTTAGGATAATTTTAGGATAATTTTAGGATAATTTTAGGATAATTTTAGGATAATTTTAGGATAAATTTAGGATAATTTTAGGATAATTTTAGGATAATTTTTGGATAATTTTAGGATAATTTTAGGATAATTTTAGGATAATTTTAGGATAATTTTAGGATAATTTTAGGATAATTTTAGGATAATTTTAGGATAATTTTAGGATAATTTTAGGATAATTTTAGGATAATTTTAGGATAATTTTAGGATAATTTTAGGATAATTTTAGGATAATTTTAGGATAATTTTAGGATAATTTTAGGATAATTTTAGGATAATTTTAGGATAATTTAAGGATAATTTTAGGATAATTTTAGGATAATTTTAGGATAATTTTAGGATAATTTTAGGATAATTTTAGGATAATTTTAGGATCATTTTAGGATCATTTTAGGATAATTTTAGCTTAATATTAGCTTAATTTTAGGATAATTTTAGGCTCTTGAAATGTTCCTAAAAAATTGCTATAAATAAATAATACAGGGTGCTTTGGTAAGTGTTTTTTTTTAACACTTATACCTTATTTTTAGTCAATTTTTTGACTCTTGATTTACTATATAGAATAAATTTGCTTGACTAGCTTCGAACGAAACCAATAGAGAATCGGGATTTTTTTATTAAAACAACTATGCCACATTTATAGGCTATTTTAAGACTATTGAAAAATAAAATATTTCGAAAAAATACGGAAATGCTTTGTAAACGTCGAATGAAGGAACGAAGAATATTGCAAGAACCTAAAAATAGTCTTAAAATGTGGCATATTTGTTTTTGTTTTAAGAAAAAAAAAACAAGGTGCTCTAATAGCCTCATTCGAAGTTAACAAAGCACTATTTTTATAAATAGAAAGTTTTTCGAAAAAAATGTCAATTTGTTAGAAAGTTTTATAATATTTTAATAACTTAAAAATAGCCTGTTTTTTTAAAAAAAGCTTAAAAACCCCGAATTGATCTGCTGGCTTCGTTGGAAATATCCAATATTTAAAAAAAAGATTTATAATATTTAAAGATACTAAAAATAGCCTAAAAATATGGTATGGTTGTTTTCACAAAAAAAAAACTTTAAAAAAACAATGTGCTTTGCTGGCCTCGTTCGAAGCTAGCAGAGCACCTTGATTTTTGTTAAAAATGAGGGGCATAAAATCTTTGAATGGGGTATAAAAATAGCCTTAAAATAGCCTAAAATTAGAACATAAATTTCAACTCAAAATTCTCTAGGTGCTTTGGTACCCAGAATTTGAAAATAAAATGCGACCAAAACCAAAGAAGCTCTTGATGAGTCTTCATACAAATTACCCTACATATTTTCTATTCAAGAAAATTACTTAAAGTAAAGTATATATTACAAAATATATATTGTAATAAATCAAATAGGTGACCCTTTTGAACGAATGGCATTTAATGTTTGTAAATAAATTTTGATTCCTCTGACCCCAAAGTATGATAACTTTGTCCGAAAATGAATTATTTAAATTAGCAGAAATCTTACAGCAAACTGGCTTTTCCTTTGGTGATAGTCGCTTTGTGTTTACCATTAACAGAAAAAATTTCTTCATTATAAAATATAATTGTTGAAAATACTACTTTATTAGGTTAAAATTTTACGGAGGTAACTACAGGATTCCTGCTCCTGTCAATTGCATCAGGAGAAACATCTTTTTTAAAATTAAAAATAATAAAATAAAATTATACCACTCGACTATTCACTGTTGGGTACTAATTAACAGTGCTGTTCCTAAAGTGGCGCTGGGAAACAGTAACAAATCCTACACAGAACACGAGGCTAATAACCGTAGCAGTTGATGCCGATGACATAAAAAAAAATAAATAAAATTATATTTACGTGTAATGGTTTCTCACAGACAAGTAATTTTTTATACTATCCATAGAGGCATAAGATGTTGGTGTGAATTTTGTAGTTAATTTTATGGTTAATTTTATTTTATACTTCATGCTACTTGTTTTTTTTTAACAGTTTATTTTTTTGTACTAATTTTATTTGACATGAGTTTTTTTTAAGAGAAAAAAATATGTTTCTCTACGATCGAAAGTAGGCTTTTGCGCCTTCAAAGTTGATATTTTTCTGCAGGCTGTCATATTTTGATTTTATTGGCGCTCTTAAGCGGAAAGTAACTTTAGTCCTCGCTTAATTTTATTTATAGATAAAATAGAGCTAGTAGTTTTGCTTTTTTCCTCGATACTGCCCTTTTTGCTCCGTTTGCTCCATTAATATGGTTTGATCGAAGAGGCACATTTCAAACGTAGCATAAAGGAGGCCACGTGGTAGCTACATAGCCACCACTAAAATGGAGAAAAGTGTTTAGTCCGGTAGTCCCGGCCTCTATAAATGTGAATATTGTAACGTTTGTTTAATTTATTTATTTAAAACACTTTATTTACAATTTATTTATAGCGTACTAATTAATTTATATAATACTTAAACACTGTTATAACTCTAATTTATATAATTGTAATTTATTTATAACAATTAACAATAAACCAAGAACAGGGTTGGCTTCGCGTATCATTACTATAAAGGATCGGGATCAAAGATAGGAGATCGGGATAGTAACCGTAAGTACTCCGCGACTTGGCGGACTAGTAACCGATACATGGCTGTCTAGTAACTGGCACTAATGCATTATCACTTTTTAATTAATTATATATTTTAGCGGCCTTTTTCTTTTATAATAATGGCACAGTGATATAAGGTGTCCCGGTCCTCTTTAATCATGTTCCGAATAATATTTTTTCCATAACTGCCGTTTTTGGCTTAGGAGCTCGAAAAGTGTCATATAAGGAAGGTCGACCATGTTGAAATTCATTGTACCAACGATTTACGGTAGCGAGAGAACACTACTTGTCACCAAGCACTCTATTGACACTATATTGTGATGTTTGTTTACTTTAAAAAAACAGTTTATTTATTAATAATTTATTTAAACACTTATTTATTTTATAACACAACTATTCTAATTTATATATACTTCGAATGTCTTTAAACTGATCACTATTTATATTCACCACTGTCTTATCTACTAATTACTATTTATCTTCACTGTCCATATAATAACTGACTTTTGTTGGTCCTCCACCAATATTTATATACAAATTGGTGGTCTAGAATGCTCCTCCACCAAAATTACCAGAATGTACCAGAAACGTTATCACGTTATATTTAGACTAGAAATAGTATCTCGTTGACTCTGGAATGTTCGCGAAAGTGTCTCCACCATAGTCGTCACATAGGTTTGGTCTTAAGGGGTTTAATTATGTATAATAATCGGACAAGTTGAGCCTCAAAGGCCAAATAAGACAGAAAAGGACTTGGAGGGTTATTAGAGCATGACTGAATAATGAAATGGCTCACATAACAATATTGACTTCCTCAAAACTTTATTTACGGTTTAAACCACGTTTGAAATTGTAAAAAAGCACAGCCCAATAATGCTCCTTGTTCATTGCCATCACTTATTGGCGAAATAATTACTTTAAACTTATGTAACTTATAAACAATCAGGTATATTTGACAACTGTCACTAACTAAACTTGTAAATAACTAGATTAGATTTGAAAGGCTCCTGCATGTAGTTCTGGTCTAGCTTTTCTTCTAATGTTAAAAACCTCAATCCCTCAATATAGCAAGGCCATCACACTGGCACAGGACGTGGATTGATGTTTCCTCTTGTTATTCACAGAACCTGCACAATGTTGTTTCTTCTGCTGGATTGTTGACACTCATGTACCTTCTTAGACGGCAGTGTCCGATAAGAAGTCCTACTGTTATTCCAACGATTTGAAGTTATTGATCCAGTAGATCATTCGTGAACTTGGCCGATGGTTCTTTGATGAACTGTTTGGTCTGTCTCAATCTTAGATAGTTTTTCCACCATTCCTAAGACTTTTTTGCATAGATTGTTTGATGGATGCCTTGCATAATGCCTTAGCAACTCCACAGAAGGGTTCTGAGCCTGTCATGACCTTATCTGAGACTTATATGCTAATTCGTCGGCCTTTTAGTTCCCCTTATATCCCTCGTGGCCTGGCAGACCGGCTAAGGTCACCTCGTTCTGACTACTTATCTCTGCCAGGTTTTCTAGGCAGTCCTTCACCAGTTGTGATTTGATTTCTAGTGAGAGAATTGCCTTTATAGTTGCTTGACTATCAGAGTAGATGGCAATAGTTTTGTCTGATACTTGCTGAGATAATATTTTTCTTGCACAGTGTTATATCGCTATTAGTTCAGCTTGTAAGACTGTTGCATATTCTCCAAGACTCGGCGAAATCGTTGTTTACGACTTGGGTCCAATCTCCAGCACCGGTTCCTTCCTTGTTTTTTGAACCCTCTGCAGACAATTAGATTGAAATGTCAGACAATATTGCAAAAAGATCATCGTCTACTAGATACGATCAGCAAAAAAAAATGTGTATAATACACCAAAAATATGTGTACCTACTTTTAAAGTACTTCTTTAGCCATTTTTTCAAACGCAATTTACTTTTTTGATCTATAAATTGACATATTATTTAATAAAATTTCAATGCCCCACAAAATAACCTTTTTTGTAATTTTTTGACAAAAAAAATTTAATATTTATTAGTGAAACATTTGAAATACTTTCAAAATCATTTTTCCTAAAAATTTATGGTATGATATTAACATAACTATTATTGTCCATTTTTTATTAAAACCAAACTTTTTTTTTTTTCTAAAAATTTTAGCACCAATTAATAATGGCCACCTTTACCAAAGATACTATAAAGTTAGGCCCTCCACCATAAAATTCCTGAAACTCTATAGTGGTCTTAAGTCAAAATAAGATAGTGGCAAAAACTGTAATGTACCAACAGGAACTATTTCGCTAACCATATTTGGCACTAAAATGCCACGATACTTTAAAGTTCCAAGTGATGCGGTCACTGGGACCTTTTTACCTATCTATGTACCTAGTTACTTTATTTTAGGCATATTAAGTGGCATTGGTGGGAGGCAGTAACTGATTCACTGGTAGTAGATAGTTTTTCCCACTACAATAGTTCCAATAAATGGTAACGGCATCGTTCATATACCATGGTATTGGTGTGGTAGCCGTTACTTTAAAACAACCATATAAAGTAGCCATATTATTACCAGGGTCAACCCCAGGAACTAAGGCCTCGAGCAAAACCAAAAGGGTTTGGTACCATGTGTGTTACTTGTGGTGAGATTTCTTCGACTTTTAATTACTCGAAAACGGTTATAAGACACAACATAATTTAATTATCTATTGTATCCCGTGAAATCTGCACGTCACTGTATTTTTAATAGCATTTTAACAAAACTCAACCATAACTACACAGAACAGGTTTTGTATATTTAATAATCGATGATTTAATAACGATGATAAGGGGTTCGCAATTATAATAAATGAACCTGTACCTACGCAAAAAATTTTAGACCAAATTTGACATCCGGTATTAAAACTATTGTTCTATTTACAGATATGACGTAGTAAATATAAATCTATCAAATAAACCAGATTGGTTGTATGACAAAGTGCCTCATGGAAAAATTCCCGCTCTTGAAGTGGAAAATGGAGAAATTCTTACTGAAGACCTAATTATTGTGGATTATTTGGAAGATAGATACCATCAACATCCCTTATATCCCAAAGATCCATTGCAGAAAGCTAAAGATAGAATTTTGATAGAAAAATTTAACAAGGTAAATAACAATTTTAATACCTATCATTTAAGATACTAAAAATAAACTAATTTTAACATCCTATTTCTTTAGGTTGTTAACGCCATGTACAGGATGATGATGAGTGTAGGCCGAATGAATATGACAGACGACGAGGTGATATCACAAGGACTGTCAGTTTTCGAAAAAGAACTTACTGAAAGGAGAACTCCCTATTTTGGCGGCACGAAACCTGGCATGTTGGACCTAATGATATGGCCTTGGTGCGAGAGAGCTGATATTCTGAAAGTTTTTGGAAACCAACACATATTGAAAAGAGACAAATATAAGAAATTGGTAAATATATGAAACATTGCCGTTCAGTTTCGTTTTAAGCCCGTACTGTACCTTATTTTTTTTATTATTATATATTATTATTAACAAAAAAAACTCCAATCTAGGTCTTCTCGAGTCTAAACCCACTATGCATAAAAACGTTAAATTAATGAAAACTTTACATCACATTGTTACATTGTAACTCTCATTTTTACTCTTGTTTTCATCTATAGGACGAACTCATAACCGTCCAAGCCCAGAGTAAGGACGTTTACTTTTGTGATGAAACAATGTAGACGTTCCAGTGATATTATAGCTCTAACTTGTTACGTTATTCAACGTTACTGGAAGTTCATTTGTAGATATTTGCCAGAAATGTTAATGAATATAATGTTAAAATTTAAACATCTATGGGATATTTTAGTACCGTTTTAAAAATATATTCAAAAAAGTCTTAATGAGAAACGTTACAAAAAAGACTGGTAATGTTTCATGTTTAGTGGGAACCCAAATGATTTTAGGGAGTTATTTTCAAATGTGGTGGAGGATATTTATAAAGGCTTTACCGGTTTTATCAATTTCACCGCGCTGTAACGTTGGCAGTATAAACGGCATCGATGATATTACTTGTTTCCTGCTCCTCTCATGCTAAATCTGTAGTTTTCACACGCACTTGTGCAACCCGTATCGGAAAGCGTTGTATTTTGTAATTTGTTTATCTTCCTGGTCTGAAAGTTGCTTGTTTCTCTTCTATTTTTGATTCTACATACTCTCTTAATTTAGTCTCTATTCTTTTTTGGTAATTTTTAAAGTTGGTTTGAGCTAAGCTTATTGGAGAGTGCCTGATCCCCTTTCTTGTATATTGGTAATATTAAGTTGTTTTCCAAATCTTTTTCCCATGATCTGCATATACTATCCCTTTCCTTTTTCTCCTATTTAATCATCTCTGGAGCTGTGCCATCCTCGTCATTTGCTTTTGCTAGTTTGATTTTATGTATGCCCTTCTCTTTGGTTTTCTCAAGATTGATGTTCATTTAATTCTTCTCTGTCTATATTTGGTATTTCCTCAGCGTTGCCAAATTTCTTTTTATACTTTTAACTATGTCTGTTCCGTCTGTTTCAAGATAGTTATTTTTATTTTTTATAGCTTTCATTTTCTTTCTTATTTCCTTATAATCTTTTTATCCATGTCCAAAATGTACTATTATCTGATGCATATATTTCTGTCATTTATCTTCCATCGTTTTTTTTAAGTGTCCTTTTAGTGTTTTCAATTTCAAATCGTTCAAATTCTTTGTATGTCCCATCTTGGTATTTTTTTATCTTTTTTGTGTTTTTCAGTTGACATTGCTATTCTACTGTTTATCTGTTTTTATTATTTTTGTGGGACATTCTGCTATTACTAATCTATGGTGTCTGATAGGTGATCGAAAGCTATAAAAACACACATTGTGTTTAATTTTTTACATGGATACCTTAACCACAAGAAAATAAAACAAAAAATAAAGAAGAAAGATTGAAGAACCCAGCAAAATAACAGGAATTTCAATTTTTGCAATTATAATTAATAAATTATTTACATGTCTGTTACAATTCAATCATTTTCTGATATTAAAAAAAAATATTCAAAAAAATTTATAAATATTTAAGGTAAAAATGAAGCAGGATCGGACTTACAAAAATTCCTATAGCAGTTTGTCGTAAAATCGTAATAAAACTGTTGTTGATTATTATTATTATTATTATTATATAAAACTGAAACCGAGTCTGAAAATTTAATTTTGACCGGCCAATAAGTTCTTCAAAATTCGCATCTTTTTTCACATTGTACGGTTAACGAAGTCCGCATAAAATGTTTGATTAAATTTATTGTGAACAGAAATGTTACTTTTCATCTACTTTTTTATTTTAGATGGAATGGCGCGTCCAAATGACCGATGATACAATTGTGAAGAAAAGTTTATTGCATTCCGATTACCATATAAAGTATTTGCAATCATACAGAGCAGGCATGCCTGATTATGATTTAATTTTAAACTCAAACTAACTTGGAAAGTACCACCCACTCATATAGGTTCTCATTTGTGATCCCGAGAACTAAACTTGGAGAAGCTTTCGCATAAGCCTTCAGATAAAATGTCAACACTCTATTGGTAACTCTAGGACGCACCTTACTAAAGTGTAGAACCTAATAGAAATAGAAAATATACCATATTTGTTTCAGATAAAAATATTTATTATCAAATAAGTATAGGTATATACAGAGATATATTTATACAATTTATAACACTCTGCTTTTGTATTTTTTGTATTAATGTTTTTTTTTAATAATTCTCTAAATATTTGTACAATGTAAGTATAGGCATCTATTGTTAGGTATTTTAAGAAATTGTATTTTTTTCTGTATTTATTGGTGCTGGTACTTAATAAATTTTATTTTTTTTGCAAAATATTTTTCTTTTAAAAACTAAAAATAAAAGTACACGACTAAGAGGTCGTTCTCAAATGAAAAGTAGATACCTTCTAAAATACAGGGTGATTACCTCTTATACCTTCAGTCCCGATTTTTAGTTTTTTTTGTGTAAATATACTGGATAGGCTAGACAACTGTCACAAAAATTGACGTTACTACTAAAATGTATATTCGTTGTACTCATCTGTCAAACTCCGTTTCGTGGCCACATTTACTAAACGGCGCATGTACCTTTTAAAAGTTACAGTAAAGGATACCAAATAATTTTTATTCTTGAAATATCCATAGTAGATATCGAAATTTACAGTTATTATCACATGTGTATGACTTACGTACCCCAAAGGAACTGTAGCTATTCAAAAGTGCGGAATCAATAAAGACAACATCCCCCTCCGAGAAACCTTTGTTTTAGAACTTAGTGAGGACTGACGTAAACATAAGTGGTACCCAAATTCGTAATAGCCGAAATTATCAAAAATACTTTAAATTAATTAACCTTCCAAGTTCCAAACTCAAACAATAAAAACAAATTCAGAATAGACTCAAAAGTTAAATTCGTGCCGATTAAATTAGACTCAATTAATTTAATTTAAAAACATTCAAAATATACTAGATGTTAAAAAACATAAAATAAGTGTTTCGGACATAATCCTTCCAAATCAAATTAGTGCTTGGACGATTTTAATTTACGTAATACTTGCAGTTTTTATAATTTTTGGAATCTTTAAATTATTTCATAGGAAAGGAAGTCTAAGTTCCCAAAATCCAGAGCAAAAGTCAAGAAACCCCAAATTTGGAACTTCAAAATCCTGTTGCCAGCCCCAGAATTTCCCTCTAACGGTGAAGAAGTTATGGTTGCAGTTTGCAGTACAGCAAACCTAGCGTAACACGATGTTACGAGAATGCAAGCTTGCATTCTCACGTTCATTCGACCTTTTTTTATCTTTTATGTAAAAAGTTTAGATTTCAATGTAGCAACAACTAATAAAATTTATATTTCTTGAATTTGTTTTTTAGAAAGTTATTTTGGACTTAATCACTTGGTATTTTGCAAGCCTGGGTTCACGAGTCGATCATGTATTGGGATAGATACGCCTTGTTTCCAAAAAAAATTGTCGCATGATAATAAGGTTCACAATCGCATGCACAACAAACGTAAGTGTACCAGCTGAGGTTGCCAGTGCGTCTTTTTCCGTTAAATGTACAAATATGGTTAACAATGATCAGTTCGTAATGTTTCAAAGTTCAAAATACTTAATATTTAACTCGATTTATTCAAGAATCTAGATCATATTCATAATATTTCTTATTTAACATTTTTCTACCTTGAATCGATGTTTAAATTAGGCATTTTTGTTTGGATTTTGTTCATTAAAATACATCGGTTAAATCATTAAATACTATGGTTTAACTGAACTTGACAACTCTGTGTATGTTTTTAAAAGCTTGTATGGGAAGCACAAACACATTTCGAAAATATTTCAAAAATGTTGCATTGAAATATTTGTAATGTTGCATAAATATTACGAAACGTCCCAGAAACATTTCTGAAAGTGCATCAAGTGTAAAAATGTCCTGTTAATTTAATATTTCACAGTAATATTTCTGAAATAAAAATTTGACATGTTTCAGGAATATTAAAGAAATGTACTTTAGTTTTGTTTCATAAATATTATGAAACGTTGTAGAAACGTTTCTAAAATATTTCTGAAATATCAATGCAAAATGAATACAATATTACGCTGTAATATTTTTATTAGACTAAAAAAAGACATTTAAAAATATACTTGTTTATTTAAAATGGGTATACAAAACAGAAACACTGATTCTTAAACAAACAGTAAATAATTTTTATACATTATTTCATAAATAAAAAGGCGAATCGCTTTAAATGCTCTAACCTGAAACAAATTATAGATACTTTTTTTGTGTCATCGGCTTCAATTGCTAAGGTTATCTCGCCTCGTGTTCTGTGTAGGCTTTGTTACTGTTTTTCAGCGCCACTTTAGGAGCGCAACACTGTTAATTAGAACCCAACAGTGAATGGTCGAGTGGGAAATCCTACCAATGCATCAGAACATAGATACTTAAAAAAGGATTTTCAACAAATTATTTGATTAAGAGTAGTTTAATGAATTTTGCTTTAAATTAACTATAAGAAAATACTCATGCCTAAACAAAACATGATGAGAAAGCGCCTCTTGCTTTTCAATCAGCTGTAGAACTAATAAATAAAAGTAGGGGAGGGATAACAAATGTATATAGGATATATTTAGATAAAAATGACATTATACTTTCTGATTAGGCTATAGTTCGTTGATCTGCCAAGTAACTCTACGTATAACTTTAGTCACAGGTGAAAAGATTTTCCCTAAAGCTGCCTGCAAATTTGATAAATGAAATGGCCACCCATCACAGTGAATGAAATAAAGTATTCTATCTAATCTACTTATGCTGCGTTTGAGAATCCACATCGGATGCATCTGAGATGTAAAAAATCTTTGATCACGTGATTCAGTATACGTAAATGTAATGGGACAGATGTGTCCGATGTGGATAAAAAAACGCTCGAGATGTAAAAAATGCATCCGATGTGGATTCTCAAACGCAGCATTAGAAGCATTATATTTCTGTAGAAAAGTTTCTTCAATTTCTAAAGATATATTCTGATTCCCATACAACAGCACAACGCACAAACAAAAGTAAATGGCAAAAACCGACGACAAATGCAAACTTTCAATTATTTAGAATATAGGGTTGTCTAATAGATATGGAGTGGGAGAGATAAGAACTGTTATTTCAGAAAACGTTTATACAAGGAGAACCTATCAGCCGGCATCTGCGCATTTGAGTCTATCTAGAATTGTACTAAGTTTTTTACTAATTCAATAAAAATATACATATAATTAAATGCAAATTACTAATACTTTTTTTAATGAGGAATTTATAATTAAACCACATTGTGTATTAATTGAGATCATTTAAGTATAGCTAGTTAAATGTATTTAATAATAGTTCTGGTACATTTATTTTACTTCAAAATACCTATTGTCTATATTACGGTTTTATTACCTTTTGGATCAAAATTCTATTACGAAAAAATTAATTGGTGTGGCAACACTGCGTGAAAATAGGGCTGCCTTTACCGCAGTCAGAAATCTATAACAGATTGACTGTTTTCCAAAACTATAAAGGTTGAATGATTCTGAGAATAATAAACTGGATCGGACTCACTAAATTCAGAATCAATCGCCTCACTAACAGATATTTTATACTTTCGTGATATTATCTATATTGAATACAACTTCCCAGACAGCACACCAAATCCTTTGGATATCTACTGAACATCCCAATATCCACTGAATGTCCAGTCCATGGTGGATATCTATTTTATATCCATAAAATGTAATTTATAGACATGCAAATGTCCATAAATAATAGTAATTATATAGCAAATTATTAAAAAATTACGCCATTGTGGCTAATAGTACCGTTCAGATATTTAAAATTAATTTTTTTTAAGGTGTATTCAATATCCCATGGACATCCACATATATCAAAGTCTTAGCGCGGACGCAAACCATCGTGGATAACTACTAGATGTAATTTTTGATTTTGCTTCCTAAGTATAGATGGCGATACCACTTTCGTATCTACTCATGCTCAACCCGCCATAATTGAGTTGATCGAACATTTTTGCGCATTAAGACTCTATTAGAGACTGGAGTCGAGAATTTCCATTTATTGCTGAAGAGTCCTAATAAGGATGACTTTTTCCTTAGTGGGCAAACTCAAAGACAGATTGTTGGAAATATTTTTTATCTCTATTTTCTTTCGACGTTATCATTCATTTGGTTACTTATGAATGTCTACTAAAATATTTTGCTGAATATCTGAATTCTATATCCTGGGATATAGACGGACATTTGGTTGGATATCCATATTTGGATATTGGATATCCACAAAATATATTCTGTGGATATCTCTGGGATTTCTTGTATTGTCTGGAAGATACTAATTAGATATTTTGCTGAATATCCATAGGATATCTTCTATATTCTGGATATAGACGGACATTTGGATATCCATATTAGATCCACGGAATATTTCTGATATCCTGTGGATATATTGGATATCCACAAAAGATATTCTGTGGATATCTTTGGGATTTGGTGTGTTGTCTGGGTTTTGATATTGGTTCTGTCGATAATCACATAAAGTAATGCACCCGTATGTTGTCAAATAAATGTTTGACAACACACGTTTCGTGCATTTAGCTTATGCGATTATCGATAGTCCTATACCTGCATGCACTCTTTTATATTATGATAAAATCCCCATAAGTTGGTTTGTATCAATAATGCGCATTCAGTGTGCCTATGATACGTTATATGTATATGTTATGATTTTTATGGGATATTATTGCACTGCGATTTAAAAGATCTATTGTGCCCCCTTCTATATCGCTAGTCGCGATGCCTATAACGACCCTTCCAATCCTACCTTCTCAAGGAAGTGTAGGATTTGGAGTGTGGTTTAAGCCTACCTGTACATTTTGACTTTTTGTTAAACGTTGACCAAATTTCTTAAAATATTCTCTTTGTTTTCTCAAAATGACTTTTATATTCTCATTATTTTGATTTTTTCTTAAAATTATAATTTTTTCTCAGAATATAGGCTTTATTTTTCTCAAAATATTGAATTTCTCTAAAATTGGACTACAGTTTTTTTGTATTTTGACTTTTTTTAAATAATTTTTTATTTTTAATCAAAATCATGATTATTTACCTCATGGCCCCGATAAACAAGCTGTCGTAATTATCAACTATTCCTCGTATAATCAACATTCACATCCAAAGTTAAATGTCAATCGAAAAGAAGAACAGAAAACTGGGTTTTGCATTCCTAACCAGTAAAAGCCCGATAACTGCGAAGGTTAGTGTTTCTAGACCAATGTCAAAATGTCAAGTTAAAATACAAAAATTGCGGGAAATGAAAATGTGGTTAATTTTTGATAATAATAATAAAAATATAGTATTTTTTTAAATAAGTTGTTTAAACTGGCGAGTTTAAAGTTTATTTAAATTCACAATTGTACATAGATGGAGTGTCTTGAACCAGAACTACAACAAACTTACGATAAATGTAAATACATTGTTAAAGTATGGGAATATAAGTTTCAGAAAAAATACAAAAGAGTTCCTTCAAAAGTAATGTATTGTATTTCATATTGTTTTTACATTACTAACTTATATTAATTTTAGCTAGATATAAAAGAAGCTAGTCGAGATGTCCGAAATGCTTATAGAAAATACTTTCAGTTAAAAACTGCTATACTAGACCAAAGTTTCAAAGGCATTGAGGGATTTGACGATTTGGAGGAGGAGGATGAAATAGACAGAAATGAGAACTCTTCAAATTTAGAATTACAAACACAAATACATTCAGATAATAATGATTTTATTTTTATAGAACCAACTAAAGATAATTTGCCAACTATATTGGAAGAAAATAATACTACACCTATTGAAAATTTGAATATTTCTGAAAAAATATGGGGAACTCATTTAAATAATGAAAAAGATGAACAAAAGCCACAAGAACAAGGACCAAAACCAAACTTGAATTTAAATATTTCAAAAAAATTATTCTGTGGCTCTAAATTCACAAAAAGAAATCCTAGAAAATCTTTAACACTCTCGCAAAAAAATAAAACTGATACAGATAATAAAGTAACTCTTTCCCAACCATCCCCTTCTTTTACCAGTTTTTCATCTGAGGAAGCTATTAATTTGTTACAAAATGATATTCTAGATAAACCTTTTAAGACTGTATCTCACTTTGAAGGTTCTCTTTCTCAACCCATGAATTTAGTTCAAACATTTTTTGACCATAATCATCCCAGGCCTTTAAAAACTGTTGATGCAGGATGGTTGAAAAGGGTGGCTCAAATCACAGGAACATCACAAGAAAATCCAGAATTAACTTTAACTCAACAAAGTATTGAAGGTAATTATAATAAAAGTAATATTGAAAGTATTTTTTAATTGTGATGGTTTACACATTTAAATAATTAAATTTTGTGAAAGTCTCCAAATAAATTACAAAATTACCCCTACGAATTAATGAAAATTATTTTTGAACTCCCAAAGTGAAAAGAAATTAAATGAAAAATTATGTCCACAGGAAATCAAACCCACCTATTTGTGTTCTACTCACACTACCTTAACCAATCAGCTATCGAGGACAAGTCTTCAACATCCAAATTTTTAATTTGAATATAAGATTTCTAATCCAACCTCTCCAAATATTTGGGGACTCCCAAGAAATTTAATAGCCTTGTTTTCAGATCTATAACTGATAAGTTTTCGGAACTTTAAAACTGATTTTTCACTGTACAGGGTGTCATCGAAAAAGGGTAAAATATACCTGGTGATGGTAGTTTTTTTTATTTAATTTTAGACCGAATGCATACAAAACAGATCCAATTTATAATACAGTTATACCTACAATAATAGGAAATAATACATGTTAAGAAAATTGCAAATATTACAAATTACAAATATTAAAACAAATGAAAAATACATAAGATGCTTTAAAATTTAGAAATACAACTATACCCATGCACTTAAAAATGAGGACAAATAATTCATAGTAGTAATACCAAGGTATAATTTTAACTTTGACTTATAAATATTGAAAATGCCAACTTTATTAGTATGAATTTAGTGGTTCAAGGCATCTTTGGATTGACAAAGGACCCCGCACTTTTTATAGGGAAAAAATGGTTTCAGTCCCAAGGTTTAATTTTTGGTGGAAAATGTAGATCTCAATATCATGAACAAAAAAGGTAATGGGCACAAAAAAATCTACCCACATGGGTTTTCAGGTTTCGGGTCATTTTGATCAAAAAAGAGCGCGTTCAGTGGCCGATTATGGAGACATGTATGCCTGGAGGTGTGTTAGAGTGAAAAAGTACTATATATATATACAGGGTGGACCTGTCTTGTGGAAAAGTTCGATATCTTCCTTGTTGAAAGAGATATTAAAAAAGTGTATTAAGAAAATTATGGACAGGTTTGAGAATAACATTTTAAAATTATTGGGACGTATACAGGGTGTTGCATAGCTCGTGTACGAACCAAACATATATGTTCAGGATGTTGAGATCTACATTTTCCACCAAAAATTAAACCTTGGGACTGAAAACATTTTTCCCTATAAAAAGTGCAGGGTCCTTTAAATTTTCAATAAGGATTCAAGTATCTCTGGGACTTACTTGCATACCAGATAGATATACTGGAATCATATATCCTACCATTAATAGGGTTGCCAGACGTCACGCTTTTGGCGTATTTGCCACACTTTTTGACTTGTACACTCAGTGCCATGCTTTTGACAAAAATGCCAATCTTTTCATGCAAATGCCACACTTTTTAATTAAAAGCTCCAGAGGAACCGGATTTATACAAAAATAGACAAATCTCTGGATAAAGGACCCTCGTTTTTACGAAAAATATAAGCTGAGGACCCTTTTTTTAGAAATTTTACAAAAAACGGACCTGATTATATAAAAATGCTTGGTGAGAATCAAAGTATATTCAAATTAAAAAATTGGATGTCAGAGTTATGTCCCTGATGGCTGAATGATTAGGACAGTGTGTGTAGAACACAAATAGATGGGTTGGAATCCTCCTGTGGACAGTATTTTTTAAATTTTTTCATTAAATTTGTTTCCTCTTTGAGGGTTCAAAAATAGGGGTAATTTTGTCATTTATTTGGGACCAAAGAATTCCATATCTTTGATTTTGAATATACCGATATTCACTATTTAAATAATTGCTGAAACAGGATTATTGTTAATTCATATTTTGTATAATTTCAATTATTAATTAAATTAGTCAGAAATCAAATTATTTGGTTTTTGCATCTTAAAATTCTTATACTGTTATAAGCTATGTAGATATTCACCATTAAAATAAAATGAAGCAGAGACGACATAAACACTGTTTTACGATATGACAGATGGACGCACTTAGAGGTGCCAGGACTGACGGAAAAGTGTAATCAAAATGACGACTTGAGAGTCTTACTTTGAAGTCAATAATTTTATATTTGAAGATTAACGGAATGAAAATGGTTTTATGTCATTTAAATAAAGCTATTTTATAAGAAAAGAAAAAGTCATTTACTATAGAATTTTATTTTTAAATGGCTACTAGTTTCGGCCTCTATGGACCATCATCAGGCCTAAGATTGTAAGGTTACATAGTAGATGGAATGATCAAGAGTATATAAGAAAAAACTTTTTTTAAATGGTTTATTAACTTACCTAATATTGTTATATAAAAAAGAGGAGAGTGAGTCCTAGATCAAATGTCCAATAAGTTCTAGTCTAGAAATTTTCTGATTATGTGGTAATTGAAAAAATCCTGAAGTATAAAATCAACGTTGAAACAGAAGCACAAGTAAAAAAATCTGATGTATCCAACACATGGCTTTCCTGTCTAGTTATTACAGGCTTTTTCAGGTTATTTTGTACAACCTATTGTTTAGAGGACGAACTAAATATATACATTTTATACATAGATCTTATTTGAAAATTTTTTTAATATATATTTATTGCCAACGAAAATACTGAACAATTAAAATTTTACACTTTTCCTCAAATTTTTCCATTACGATCCATTTTAGAGAAATCAAAAATTATAGAGATCGATATCGCAAACAACTTTTAGTTTAACAATTTTCTTAAAAAAATAAAATTTTGCGCTTTTTGTCAAATTTCTAGAATACGGATCATTTTAAATAAAAGAACTTTTTGGATTGCCGTTTTTTTTTTTAGATTTCCAAGAGACAAACAAATTTGCGATCAATAGATTCTAAAGTGTTATCAGCAACACAAATTTAATGTGAAAACAGCAAGAATATGTTTTACCCATTTCGTAGAAAGTGATTACTATTTAAAAGGTAAACTGTTGAAGTTGCCTAAAAAAAATGGATTTTAATAAAAGATGCAATACCTTCTCTTCGTTTAAAAAAAAAATACCAAGTGTTCAGACATCAGTTCAGCTAAAACGAACCATGATAATAAATAGAAAGCTAAATAGGGAGATAATAAAAGATATGTATCTAAATTTTTAAATACTTGGTACTAATTATCGCTAAAAGAGTGGTTTTCAGCCAAAATATGATTGGCAAATGTAAAGTTATTATAACTATTATGATGTTCAGATGACGCCTCAGATGACGCTTTTTAAAAATACTGCCCGTTTGACAAATATACATATTTTGACGACCACCAAAAATTAATTTTGCCTCTAGTTTTTATATGGTCCCCAAGTGTTTTGCACAATAAAATGGTTATATTAAATATAAAAATTAATACATTTGCAAAACATATTTTTAGTGAAAACCAGTCTTTGAGTGATAACTTTTAGTATTACATAAAGAAAATAAGGCACTACCCAATAAACACAGTTAATCGGCACCGTAACTGGGCCGAACGAGGCTTGCCGGATGCCGGACTCGGCCCGATATACGGGTGGAGCTTCGGCATATAGGTAGGGCATGTCCGCCCAGCCGAATATCGGCAGCCACTAAATTCTAGCCGCGTTCATATATCTATATATAATTCGGCCCGTAAAGATACCTCCCATGCCCGGCTAGCCAAATATTCACCGCGTTTGGCCCGTAAAGATGCCTCCCATGTCTGGAAAGCCATATATGGACCATATGCGTTTTCTACTTCTAAATTACGTCAAATGGTGCGGTCCTCCCGGTCCAGAAGAAACCCCGACAACGGCAATAGTGCTCGGCTTCTTGTACATGTTGGTGTCAGGCCGAGCGAATGCCGACTATTTGTGGTTTACTGGGTATCTATGAACACTTAAAATAAATATAGATTTTAGATTATCTGCTAATGACCCATTAGAAATCAATAATTCACCTTTACCTAATCCTTTTAACAGATTCTTAGTATTCTGTGCGACAATCCCTTTAATGGTAAAACATTACACTAATTTAATTTCATTAACCACTTAATTACTTTAACCATTATTGTTAAAATTTAGATGAATATAATGATCAATTTGAAATCAATAATTCACCTTTACTGAATCTTTTAAGTGGTTCTTAGTATTATTTGAGATAATTCCAGTAATGGTAACACATTCTTACTCACACTAATTTAATCCCATTAATTGCTTTGACCCCTATTGTTAGTTTTTGGTTTTTCTCCTAGTTATGATTATGGATTTTAATACAGTAACAAATAATAATCTAAAAATTATGATTGATGTTAAATACATTTTTAAAGAATTTATTTTTGTTTAGGTTCACAAAGTACCTCGGGTGTAATAATTGTGACCCGTAAATATTTGTCATGTTGCATGCAGAATTAAGATTTGCCTAGTTTGGAAGAAAAACTAGATTTCTTAAAAGAACAACTTTTGTCGTGCGGAGGATACACCTAAGACCAAATTGAGTGTTTGACACGCAGTTGCGTACCCTTTAAGTCTCAAGTGAAAGAAAGGTGGTTGAAAACACATAAAAAGGAAGATGTATTTTAGAAATACAATGATGCATGGCTAAACGGAACTTTTGAGATTCCTGTGGTTACACAAAATCGGCCAGGCCGGCCACGTAAGTCATCGAACTAAAAGGAGGAAAACTGAGGAGATTCGATCTACTTCAGATAAAGAAATAATCATACATGCTGCTCAAGTAGAATTGCGGAAAGCTGGAAAACGAGATGCTTCCGATGTACTCAAAGATCTCACCAGTTCTCCAACACGTGCAACTAAATATAAAAAAGCATTTTCTAAATCAAAAAGTGAAGAAACTTGCTCTCTTACTCCATTACAAGCATTAGCATTGTTCGTAGAAGCTGATTTAACTCGCCGGCAATATGAAATAATTAGAAATACTAATAAAAAAGTCTTCCCTTGTTACAGCCTTTTACAAAATGTAAAACAAGAATGTTATCCACCCGCAGAATCATGCAGAGTAACTGGTTCCTGTGCGGAGAGCGATTTACAGCTTTTAGTTGACCTTACTGTTATGCACTTGTCAACATTCCTAGAAGAGGGCCTGCTATCATTGAAAGAACAAGAACGAGATAACCTGAAGATAATTTGTAAATCGAGTTGCGATGGATCTCCGCAATCTCAGTTCAAACAAAAATTTAAAAATGATGCCGACCTAGACGCGAAAATATTTTAGAGCTGTTTCGTTCTCTACGATTGGTTTGTGGTAAAGATTCGTTAAAGAGACCACTGATATAACGGAAGAAGAAATAACTTTTGTGAAAAAAATCTGCTAAGTCACTAAACGCAACAGAGGTGGACTTAAAGGGAACACAATTTTTGATTAAACATGTGTTCATTATGACAATGGTAGATGGAAAGGTCTGTAATGCTGCCACTGGTACAAAAGCCACAAGCCGATGTTACATATGTAGTGCAACCTCTAAGGACTTCAACCAATTAGATTTTAAAAACCAAATTAATCATGAAGCTACATAGTTTGGGCTTTCAGATCTACATGCAAGGATTCGTCTTTTTGAAAGCATTTTCCACTTGGCTTATAAATTGCCAGTGAAAAAATACAGAGAAAAACAGAAACGGAAAAAAATATTGAAAAAAAAAAGGAAACTGGAAATCCAGAAAAGATTTCGCAATGAGACTGGTTTATTGGTGGATATACCAAAGGCAAATTTTGGTAACACAAATGATGGAAACACGAGCCGAAGATTTTTTGAAGACCCGAAAGTGACTTCCGAAATAACGGGAACTAGTTATGACCTAATTTATAAATTAAAGGTCATACTAGAAACGATTTCGATCGGATATATAATTGATCTGGAAAACTATGACAAATACGCATTAACAGCTGTACCTTTGGCACCCAATGACACCAACGATGCACAAAATACTTATTCATGGTGCAGTTATAATAAAAACTGCATTATTGCCTATTGGGCAGCTGTCTGAAGAAGCCGCGGAAGCATGTAACAAGCATTTCCGCACATACCACCAAGACTTCACGCGAAAATTCTCTAGAGAAAATTGTAACAGGGATATTTTTAATCGCCTGCTTCTATAAGTTCAGAGCCCCTCTTAAGTAGCATGAGGAACGTTAAAAGAAGAAACAATTAATTTACTGCAAAGCCGCTTGAAGCTGGTAATTCTTCAGAAAGCGAAGATGAAAAATTATACGAATAATGTTAGATAGAATTGTATATCTATATTTTTTATTAATAAATATTTAAACATTAAAACCTTTTATTTATTAATATCGTTTAGAATCAAAAAAATAATTTTGGCCGCGTAAATCGTTCAAATACCCCTATGTGCGTTGTCAACTACATTAAATCTCACGAACTAGGAGGTGCCTATCTACTTAGGAGGATGCACAATGGGCCTAGTGAGGCCTAAGTGCCGTGGGTTAACCCACCCTCCACACGTTACAGATACAGATAGGGTGAGAAAAATGTGGAGAAAAGAGGCAAATGTAGAGGAAATAGGGAGAGTTAAATTAGTTGTGTTCATCCCATCCTCTACTCTTACACCAATTTAACACAATACTCTCCTTCTTTCCCTCTACATCACCCCAATAGCTCACAGAACTGATTCCTGGTAGTCTTTTAATTTGTTACTCTATCAGATAGATCCTCCTCGAAGACATCAGGAATGGGTTCTATTAACTATTACCCACGTTTCCCCACCCCCTTCTATAACTCGAGTTACCCCACTTCCCCATCTATAATTTTAAGATAATCCCCCCTTTTTAACTTGTGATTCTGATTCACCTTTGATTTTATACTTAAGGATTTTTTCAATTACCACATAATTTCTGGACTAGAACTTATTGGACATTAGATCTAGGACTCACTCTACTCTTTTTTATATAAAAATATTAGGTAAGTTTATAAATCATTTAAATAAAGGTTTTTCTTATATACTCTTCATCATTCCATCTACTTTGTAACCTTGCAATTTTAGGCCTGATGATGGCCCTTAGAGGCCGAAACTAGTAGCCATTTAAACATTATGTGGTAAATGACTTAGGAGTTTTCTTTCCTTATAAAGGATTGTCATATTAATGAAAATTAATGAATATCTCTACTTTAAAGCTATTTTAAAAAAATGGCTATTATTCTTACCAAAGCTGACTAGCTTTACTGGCTCGAGTTTGACACGTGACGTAAAAGTGTAATGCAACCATTGCTTGATGAATGCAACGGTGCGGGATACTTTTAGTATCGTCATATTATTCTGTATTCTATCTCAACACTTAGTAAAACATGCTAGACCAGATTTAAAAGTTTAAACATATTTTAGATCAGCCGGAATTTACAAAATTGGACTATGATAGTGATGATATTATTGAAAATTCAGACGAGGAAGAATCTTTTAAAAGTAGTCAACCTTTACATGTAGCTAAAAAAAGAAAAATTGAAAATCAGAATGTACCTAATAATCTAATCCATGAGTCCGTAAGGAGCGTAGAAGATAGTGTAAAACCCAGTGATGTTAAAGAAGATAATCAAATTAGTTTAAAAGTAATTAATGAAGTTGGCAAAGAAGATTTTAAAGAATTAGTATTAGAAGATAAAACTAAGTCTTTGAATGAAGACCTGGTAGATGTACCAGAAACTGGTGAAGACTGTTTAAATGAAAAATTAAAAGACACATTAAAAGATAAAAAATATAAGATTACGAATGCTGCAACTAAAAACACCCCAAGGAAAACTACAACTAGAAAATCACCTAAAACGAATGTATTACTTCAAGACACTGCAAAAAATAAACCAGCTGAAGAAACTTCTAATACATTTGATCCAGTCAAAAGAATGAACAAAACTAAAAGAACACCTAAAAAAAGTAAAGAACCAAAAACACCTAAAAAAAGTAAAGAACCAAAGACACCTAAAAAAAGTAAAGAACCGAAGACACCTAAAAAAAGTAAAGAACCAAAGACACCAAAAAATACCAAACCCAGTCCATCACAAATATCTGAGAGAAGATCCTCTAGAAAGACAAAAGTTAAAGTGAACCTAAAAGAATTTTCTAGCGATGAAGAGTTGTTTTACACAGACACAGATGAACGGGATCCAGAATTTACATTAACTGATAATAAAAAAAAACAAAATGAGCCGTTTACTTCAGATGAGGAAAGTACCCCTAAAAAGAGCCCCAAAGTTACTAAAAAAAGAACTTTAAAGTCTACTGGTAAGAAAAGAGTAAAGAAAATCCAGGAAATTGATGATACTGAAGAAGATACTCAACCATATGATTTAGAATTTTCTGTTAAGCCTCGCATTGTTGCACCCAGATTTGGAAATGTAAAAGAGGTTTTAAGAAAAAATAAAAATCAAACAAAAATGAAAGAATCTGTTGCAGCAGATAGTGAAAATTCTGATGAAAAAGGTAAAAAAAATTGTTTATTTTGGGTTCCTTTTGCGTACATTATTATATTTTTAACTGTTACTTATTAAAACAATAGTTTTTTATTTTTATCTACTTTAAAATAAATTTTAATTGGTGCATCCTTGTGTTGTCTTTCATTCATATTTAACTTCTAAATATTTAAAAATTTTATTGGCATATAATATTGTTACTTATTGTTAAATAAATATTATTACATTTACATCCGTATTCATAAAGCATTTTTAAATAGCTGACTACTTAAAAATTATTAAAGTTAGAAACGTTAATTCAAAGAAAAAGTAAAGTTGGATGATGCGATGGCGTGTTCAATAACACTTTTTTCTACACCCATATGGGTATTAGCTTATCTACGTACAGATTACAAAACGAAAAAGTGTGCTATTGTCTTCAACTGAACGAATATATTTCATATCCATTCTAGGTAGTGAGAACACTGCTAAAAACTTAAATCCACCAATCACCGTTCATATTTTGATCAACTGACTGTTATTATTTTTAAAATTTTAAATACGTGACAATTCTGTCAAACTAATTGTCAGTATATTTTTTTAGTTATCGAGATTAAACATACATTAAAATGGGTTATTCTTGTGTAGAATCAATAAATAATAGTATTTCTTTTTTTATTTCGTCTATAAATATAAATAATTTGTTAATTTAAAAAATTATATATAGTAAATTTAATTACGTGTATTAAAGCAACAAAAATGAAAGAATAGGTGGTCCTGTGGTTAGCGTTCTTGCCTTCCACACCGAAGACTGGAGTTCGATTCTCGGATGGGGAAAATGAAAAGAACTTTTTATCTCTGTTTTTTCGTTTATTTTGTTTGAAAAATTATTAAAAGTCATAAATTATTTTAAAATTAGTTATCTTGTCTTAATAACCTAAAATATTTTTTTTATTTGTAAATTTTGTTAGTGGGTCGTAGAAAAAATATACTTTACAACTCGAGTGGATTGTCCACATTCCACTCGGGCGATTGAGCACTCCGCCTACGGCGTCGTGCTCAAATTTGGTCTTCGTGCGATATGGTCATCATATTCACTCTTGTTGCACAAACTACTATTAATTGTTACTGTGATTAGTGTACAATTCAAATAAATCAGGCTATGATTCCTAAACACTCTTTAAGTTAGTGTGATTAGTGTACATTTCAAATAAATCAGGGTGTTTCCTCAAATCATTAACAAATTGCATATTCGTTCATTTTTTTTTAAACATTTATGAAATTGGTAGAAAAACATAAAAACAGTATCAGTTTACCAAGATTAACATAATTAAATAATAGTGAAATGTCAACTAACTCGATTAGATATTCATTATAATTTCATTTCTATATTTAATGATTTACATGAGGGTAAATTTAAACATGCTTTCGAATTAGGTTAGGTAATTATATAAATAATAACTCATTTTAGTTTTATATAAATAAAAAATTTCCTACATAATAAAAATTATAGATAATGACATCACGGAAATCTTTTGACTGAAAAATTTTCTTCTCCAATCATAAATAACACACACATATACCAAAAGATAAAAAAACGACCGCCTACGAAATACCGCTGCCTCAGTTGCTCCGACTGTGCCCAAAATCTAATAATCTCTTCATAGGTGCTCCTGAAAACCCTATGTTCTAAATTCCATCGAAATTGGTCTAAAGTATAATTTATAACCACCGTAACGTAACTTAACTTAACGCCGTAGAAACTTAACCTAAGATATAAAAATAAAGTCTATTTATAAATGTCCGTAACGTAAGAGTTGAGCATGCTTGTTGATTTCAGATATTATCAAATTACTGACAACCTTATGAAATAAACAAGTGTAAACTATGTACCTAACCTCTAAATAAAACTTATAAATTATGATTTTGTATATTAACTACTTTAAAAGCAATAATATAATAAAACAGAATAGTTTACCGAAGATGTTGATTGTTTTTGAGCAATAATGAGAATTTAATCTTTCCTAGCAAACTAATTTTGTGTCTTATTTTAGTTCTGGATTTGATGTTTATAGGTATATGCAGCAACACTCATATCTCATAAATAGTTTATCCCCAATAACATAAACACAAATCATTCATGATAATGTATGTCCATCAAAAAGGAGAATGATAGTTTACAAATGGTATTTGTCTATTCATTTATAACAAAAAATTAAAGAGAATAATCACATGCTGAACTTAGAATTATCTCATTGGCTAACCGTAAGGTCTTAAGTTAAGTTGTTAAGTTAAAAGTTGGCGAACTTTCTACGGTACGTTAAGTTCTTAAGTTACGTTACGAACATTATAAATAAGTATACGTAAATTCAATATTTCAACTTCTTACGTTAAGTTCTTAAGTTACGTTACGGCGGTTATAAATTAAGCTTAATAGTTTGGGCTGTATCCCACAAAAAAAAATGAATTTTATACTGTTCTTCAAATATCAATACAATCCATTTTAGGGATATCACGTATATGTATAACAAAAATTATACTACCCACTAAAAACCACCTTCTATTTGGTCAAGATCCCTTTCGGGACTACTTTAGCGTTATAACGTTGAGGGATCGCCATCTTATATCAAATTTTAGCGCTTCTCTCGTCTACCTCTTTCTACTTGAGGACTTCGATAATGAAACGATGTCTTTTTCTCCATTTTCCACTTCACCTAGCATGTAGCTTACGAGTTCCTTTGGTGTTATTTCCTCCAGGTCAAAATCCAGGTCCGACCTTTCGTTACTCCATCTGCGACACCAGAAAATGGTGTGCTCGGGGAACATCCACGTCTTCATTACAGTAGACTTACATCATATCTGGGATCTTTCTAATTCTGTGCGTGTACGATTTAAAACATCCATGCCCGCTGAGAAATTAATTAAAACAATTGATCTGTTTGAAACTGCTTTCTAGTCACGTAGTCGCCATCAGGTCTGGTATAAGGGTTTTTGTCCACTGGGCTACTCTTTCCGCTTCCACGTTTCTACGGTCACTTCCTTCTCTCTTGCTGCATTCGCTTCTAGCCCCCTGCCTACTCTGTAAAGCCCGCAATCGTATGAAATTCCCCCTTTTTTATGAAACTTGACTTAGCCAAAGTGTAGATACGAGCTATTGCCAGGACATTGACGATATATATTTAATTATGGTTTAAAATTAATGATTATTTATTAAATAGTACACAAACCTTGGCGTAAATTATAATTCCCGACTCGGTTTGTAATCTATCTACTATATATTACATTTTCCAGCTTTAATTAAAGACAGAAGACAGCAAGCCAGAGACAAATTAGAGAAAAAAATAACCTCTGGTAGTTTAAATGACAATTTTGTACGTATCGACATCAGGAAAAAGGTTTTTGTAAGGGGCAAAATCGGGAAAAATTTCAGTAAATACAAAAAGTCCCAGTGGAAAAAAGCAAAAGCTCTTACCGGTCCCGACATGGACATGGGTGGATGTGACGGTGGTATGTTGTCTTGTTTCAATTGTGGACAAGTGGGACATTTTGCTCGATACTGCCCAGCTAAGAAGGGAGATAATCTATTAGCTCTGAATGCTGCTGACGAAGAAGAAGAGTGTGCATTTCCAACATTAGAAGAAGCATCAAAAATGGCGGAAGAGGGAAATTTAAATGTTCGAAAACCAAAAGTAGCTCTAAAAGAAATTCAGAATTCCGAATCCAATGATGTTATTAATGATAATGAAGAAACTGATGACTTATTCGATGATGACATTGATTCAGAACAATTATTATTAGAAACTTTAAAGCTTGAGGAATATATTAAAAAGTTAGATGTTCAGATGTATATAGATAATGTCAAAGTAGTTGAACCATATTATAAGCTAAATGAAGATAACAGTCTTATTGGTAAGAATTTTTTTTATTTACTAGTTTGCATTTTTGTTAATTTTAATTTTTTAGAGACGCCTCAGGAGGTTTTTGAAGTCTTGGAAAAATTCGGTCATTCTTCATTTCGTCCTGGTCAGGAACAAGCTATAATGCGAATTCTGTCAGGAAAATCAACTCTGGTAACTTTAAGTACAGGTTCAGGTAAAAGTTTATGCTACCAACTACCAGCTTATCTATATTCTCAAAGAGAACCTTGCATTTCCTTGATTATTTCTCCATTAGTGTCTTTAATGGACGATCAAGTTTTGGGCATTGCAAAGTTTTTAAAAGCAGCTTGTCTTCATTCCAATCAAACTTCTGCTCAGAGGAAGAAAATTTTAGAAGCAATTTCCCTAGGAGAACTAAGTGTTCTGCTGGTATCACCTGAAGCAGTTGTGTCAGGAGAAAAGCAAAGAGGTGAAATCTCAACCATTATAATTGGGTATAATTTTTTTATAATTATTGATTTCTCTTTTAATTTTTAGGATTTAGTTCATTTCTGAGAAAACTGCCGCCTATAGCGTTTGCTTGCATCGACGAGGCCCACTGTGTGTCACAATGGTCTCACAATTTCCGACCTAGCTATCTTATGATCTGTAGAGTGTTGAGAGATAGCTTGGGTATAAAAACCATTTTGGGATTAACAGCTACAGCTACAAAAGCCACTCAATCAAGCATCATAAAACATTTACAAATACCCGATGGGGAAGAGGGTGTTATAAGTGACATTCCTCTACCAGATAACTTACAATTGTCAGTATCTAAAGAACCTATTAGGGACCATGCGCTACTAAATCTGCTATTATCTGATAGGTTTAAAGAGTGTAATAGTATCATAGTTTACTGTACCAGAAGGCAGGAATGTGAGAGAATAGCTGGATTTTTACGAACTAGTCTAAAATATGAACAACCTGTAAAGGAGACCAACAAGAAACGCAAAAGAGTGCATCTACAAGCGGAGCCTTACCATGCTGGTCTAGCGGCCAGTCGAAGAAGAACAATTCAAAATGCATTTATGTCTGGGGAATTGAAAATTGTTGTAGCTACGGTCGCCTTTGGTATGGGAATTAATAAGTCCGATATTAGATCCGTTATACATTATAATATGCCCAGCAGTTTTGAAAGTTATGTTCAGGAAGTTGGTAGAGCTGGTAGAGATGGTTTAAATGCTCATTGTCACGTATTTTTAGATTCACTGGTAAGATATTCCGTTTTTTGAGTACTTCCTTTTATTTATTTATATTGTTACACTGCTCAACAACAGATCAAGAAATTATAACAAAAATTAAATTCAAAAATATAAGTAAAAACTGGTAAACACTGTTCGGAATAAAAAAACTACATAGATACATGTGTACTTTTCCCAAAAATGCTAATAGTAAACGTATCGAATAAATATTAGGATTGCAAGCGATTACACCAAAAATGAAACTTAAATCCTTATCTTCAATTAAAAATTAATTCAAACTAAAATTAGTACCAGTAAAATAATATACCACTGACGACAGATTCTTTTCATTCTTAAATCTCTAGTTCTAGAAATTTCGCTGGGGCTAATATATTGCAGTGCAGAAATCTCGATCGATTTGCAGATATATATACGTATATGTTAGCAGGTAAACAAATTTTGTGTGATTACTCATTGTAATATAATGTAAAGAACATTGGCAGTCAAGAGTGGGGGGTGCGGGAAGTGATGGCGATAGTAGCGAACCGTCGACTGCACTCTCCCAGGCAGAACGAAATGATGGGTCGCCTTGAGTGCTGCAGTGAAATCAAGCTGTTAGTTGATGCTCACGCATTGTTTTATTTGACTGAATTATTGAAAATTATTATATATATATATATAAGCCATCCTGCGACTCTGTTTTAAAATGCTGGGAAGGTCCTACAAATGTTACAAGTCCGGACATTCCATGGAGTACTGCGGTAAAAAGTGTATACATAAACTAGGGTTGCTACCTGTCCTTTTTTGAAAAGGACAGTCCTCTTTTCAAGCAAAATGTCCTTGCGACTTTTTAAAGCTTAAAATGTCCCTTTTTTACGGCATGAGTCCTGTTGTTTTACTCGATATCTTTGAAAGGGATCAGGCCTGTACAAAAATTTACAAGCTGAGAAGCTTTTTTTTAGAAGCTCGGTAATAGATAGTAGAAGGACGAGGATTTCTTTTGTTACACATTCGTCTACCTTTTTTTTAGTTCATAGAAGGATGAGGACCTATCAGCATCATAGTCCTTTATTCGCTTTTCAAAAAGGTTGCAACCCTAACATATACATCCAGTGGACGGTAGTGTAGCGGTCTATCGCGCTTATATTCATTTATAGGCAAGTTTATGAGTCTGAGACTGCTGGGTTTCGAATCCCAGACCGGACCATGTGGATTTTTAATTAAATTGCATGGTTCGGTTTAGGATTTGATGTGTGGCGTATTAATAGAAATTCAATTTCTGTTAATGACATGCAGATTAAAAAAATTCGCCATACATTACCGTCTCGATGATGGTGGGTGAGGTTTTCCGGGTTTTCCTCACCTGTAAGTCAAATGGCACCATCAATCATCTTTAAGTCGCCCCGAAGCGCCACGGCAAATAATAATAATAATAGCCGTCCCTTCCCCTACACAAGTCGTTCAGTCGACTTCAGGGATTGAAATTCACTCGTAAGGGGGTGAATTAGGGAGAGTATTATTATTATTATTATTATTATTCTTTGACGTTCTTTGGAAGTCTAAATTATCATTATATAATATAGAAATTTAAAAAAGAGAAACCTTTACGGTTACTGTAAAGTACATCCCTTCAAACTATAAAATAAAGCCCCTTGAATTTGTACCTATTTCCTTATTCTGAATTCTCACTTTGTTTTTGCCAAGGCTATCGTTCTTATGTCTCAACATAGCGTCTTAGTCGACTGCAATAGGCCATTCCCATTATTGATGATCTCTATATAGACCTTTTCCGTTATCAGGGGCGGATGGGTCCACAGGAAAACCGGTAGATTTTCTGGTGCGCCGCCGCCGTTTTTTTTTAACATTTTAAAATTTGCCCATCCGCCTCTGTCCGTTATTAATAATATATCCTATTACTCATGCGCAAATCCTACTTCCTGTTAAAATCATCAAAATATGTTGTTTTTTATTTTCTTACCCTGAGTTCCAATTACACATCCGTAAATGTCAAAGTTGCAAATATTTCGTTCATTCTTACCTTGTAGATGTAGAACATGGAAATACTTTGCTAGTCCCTGCAGCGAAGGAGCTCTCGACGACGACTTCTTAAAAATGCCTGTTTAGAAAATGCCTTATACAAATGTGTGCCAAAAAAGTGTCTCTGGTTCCCCTACTAGTTAGACTAGATGACAGTTGTTTAAAGTAACGATGACAGGGGGTAATCTTAGCAGCCAACCCAACAGTTGTAAGGCAAGGACAAGAGAGAGAATAAGTTGTATGGAAAATTATTAGATTCAAAAGTCTCGCGTTTTTTTCGTGCATGAGTAATGTGAAATTGTCGAATAACAGGAAAGGTTCATTACTCATGCGTAAATCTTACTTCCTCTTAAAATCATCAAAATTTCTCATTGTTTCCTACCTTGAGTTCCAATTACACATCCACAAATGTTATTTTGTTTTTGCGTTCGATAGTATATTGGTAGGAGAGCCAGGGCACTTTTAGGTGTGTTATTTGCCAAAGGCAAAATTACAAATATATCGTACATTCTTATCTTGTAGAACATAGAAATAGTTTGCTACAGTCCCTGCATCGATGGAGCCCTCGACGAAGACGCTTTAAGAAAGCCTGTCATAAAAGAACAAGCTCGAAACTTTCAGATATTATTTACATCAAAAGATATAGAAAAAAGTTTGCTGTCACCTTTTTGAAATTCGGTTCACAGTACCTTCTTGCTTGTTGAGATGGCATTTCACTGCCAGATCGATTGTAGCAAACGATTTTACAAAAATAATTTATAATATTCGATCACAGAAAAAAAATTAGCTTTGTGTAAATGAAACATAATTTAATGTTCTAAACTTGAAGGTTTTCCACTATACCAAGATGGCAGCAAACTTTTTTCTATTTTTATTTTCTATATTGGTTTTTTAAAGACGTCGTCATCTAAATATCCACAGCTGTGCATCTGCAGCAAAGTATTTTCATCTTATACAAGGTAAGAATTAACGATACTTTTTTAAGTAAAACAATACCAATGCAAATTATCTTGGAGGACAATGGACAGTATCAATAGATGGCAGCAAGCTCCGTGGTGTCCAAGTCATGTCTTTGATAATTTTGTCGTCTTCGAAACGAACGTAATTTCTCTATTTACTAATAGATGGGCCCATAATCGATTCAGAATATTTGTTATAAAAATGGAATATACGAGTTTAATTATGCTTGTTGAACATTTATTTACGATTTATTATCATTTTAGAGAATATAAACAAGGGTAATTTAAATTTAGCACTCTACCCATATGAATTTAAAAATTAAGAAAATTTAATGTATATAGAATTCTGTACTCAATGATCGAGAAAGTGCTAGCGTTCGGGCTATTTTGATGAATTTATAACAGATGTCGCGACAGAATTGCCTCCAATGAAACGTCCATAAGGTTGTTCTACTATCTTCTCTAAATACAATGGTTCAACCTTGTGCAAATGTGTACCAGAAAGTATCTCAGGCATCCTTAATATATCAACTCAATGATAGTTGTTTGTATAATCAAAGACGATGACATGAGATAATCATCGTAGCCAACCCAGAATAAGAGAGAGAACGCAATTCAATTGTTTGGAAAATTCAATAGTCCCGCGTTTTTGTCGTGCATGAGTAATGCGAAGTTGTTGAATAACGGGAAAGGTGGATTATATGGCGCCACCCCGCTCTCGCTTCAGAAAGTACGAGCAAGCAAGCGCTATAGTGCAGGGGTGGCCAACAAGTCGATCGTGATCGACCGGTCGATCGCGAGACCAATTTTGGTCGATCGTCGATCGCTCGCAATGTCTGGGGTGGAATTCCGTGTACCATTGACTTTGAGGCGATTGTAGAAGATTAAACTTTCTAGCAATAGTTTAATGCATTTTGGGAATTTGCCAAGGTCATAAATTCCTAGAATGAGGACAGCCTGACACTGCAATCTCCGCCCACCCAGCACAATACATTTTGACTTATGTATTACACAGTGTTGCCGTATATCTATATTTCATTACGAGGAGTACTCAGCGAGCTATTGATAGATTAGCAAAAAGTAAGTCATATTATTCTTTAACCCTTACAGACCTGAGTGTGCAATAGTAAGTCAAACACAATATATTTTATTGTTTCCTATTATCAGAAGTCATACAAAGTCACTAATTTTTTTTGTGTGTCATCGGCTTCAACTGCTAAGGTTATTTCGCCTCGTGTTCTGTGTAGGCTTTGTTACTGTTTCACAGCGCCACTTTAGGAACAGTACTGTTAATTAGAACCCAACAGTGAATGGTCGAGTGGGGAATCCTACCAAGGCATCAGAATTAATTTTAAATAATTAAATTAAATGAAAAAATTCCGGCCAACGGTGGGATTCGAACCTGGGACCCTTGGATCCACAGGCAGAGACTCTACCACTGAGCCAACCATTATTTTTACACAGGCTACAATTGTACCTTTTGGGTCTATATCACTTTTCCTCACAATTATGAGTATGTCACAATTGTGTATTGCAGGACTGTACTAATTATATAATAGTATTTAATAAAAAAGTTTTTATTAAAGTAAACAAAGGTATCCAATGTAAAATTTATGAAAATGTAATAATAGTCCTACTGAGACCTATGAAAATTGACAAAACAATTTTTATCCTTAGCTGAACATACGTAAACACTTGCTACAACGTATTCTTGTTCTGCTAGTACAAGATTGTAGTCTAAAACGAAGGGGATATTTTAAGTCATCATTTACTGGCCAGTGTTCATATCCATCATAACGTTTGTCAGTACCATGAAGGGTAGCTGGAATTATTCTTTTCTTCTTATGCTTCTCGTCTCCTGTTTCATTATTTTCTAAATCAGTTATTTCCTCAAACTGATTCCTCCTCTTTCTTGTGCCTCCAATTAAAAACTCGCCAACTGCTAGACGAAATGTCAAAAAATCCATGATATCCTTTCTTTGAAAATTGTTTGATTTGCAGTCTTCAACATACTCCATCCAACTATTTACTAAA